TGAAATGCTTAGTTCATAAACGCATGAGTAGCTTACTTCCTTTTTCAAAAGATTATGAATCAGTAATTACAGCAGAACCGTGTGCCACAAAGATGAAAATTCTGCTTAGGGTTTTGGGGAGCCCAAACACTCCACAACATTTATGTGTAACCTGGACTTTTCCTCTTATTTTAATTAAGAAAATCTAGTCCTAAAATGTCATCACTACTCATACTCCTTAGCATCTAAAATTGCTTTAAATTTAAGGAATACTAAATTCAGAGTAGACAAGACGATTTTCTAGGATAAAGGACTAGTGACAAAACTTAAAAAATTAACTTGAAACTTAAAAAATACACTGAATTCCTCCCTGAAGAAAAACAAGCAATTGGCAAAATGCGACAGAAACATCGCCAGCTGATGAGCTGCCTCATTCTTTCCACTATGATGCCATCTGTTGCCATCTCTTCCCTGTCCACAAGCACTACACTTCCTCAGACTCTCAGCCTGACCCAGATCCAGCCCTGATCTCAAGTCTGACAAGGAAATCCAGTTTTACCCACCCAGAGGGTGTCAATAACTACACCTGTGGTGGGAGGTAGACAAGTAAAGAGGCTTCTACATATTACAGCTCTTTGTCTGAAATTTTCCTCCTTTCTCCCCAGATGTGTATTCAGCCCAACTGTCAGAGTAATTAACTTTAGAAAAACTTAAACTACATAAAGCGCTTAAGCTAAGAGGGGTAATATTTTAAGAACTGAGTTAGGGAGCAGCCACGTGCAGGTTCATGCAAATAGGTCCAACGTGGGAAACTTCCAGCAAGAAGGGCAAAACCAGCAGTGTATACCCTTCCTGCAGCACGGGAGGAGCCAACGCACACACCCAGCATCCATCCACACACCATAACCTTGTGGTAAAGAACAGCAACATCTTAACCCTAATATACTCATTGAACGATGTTCAGTTATCCTTTACATTTCACCTGTCAATCCCTCCAAGGCAAAGACTTTCTCCCGTGCCTTGCACGCACTGTTGAGACACGAGACAGAACAGGAAGAGGCACAGCTGATGGTGAAGAAGCTGAGTGTAATTTTGACTCGCTCTAAGAATAGGCCAAACGCCTTCCTCCAGTTCGCATGCAAATGTATTACTGAAGACAACGCAGGCATTTGAGGGGAGAAATTCAGCTTAGAATCCGAGTATCTCTTCAGGGACCATCCAAATCAAAACCAGATCTTCTCAAACACCGAGGTTTAAAGCTTTAGCACCTTCTATCAAAGGATTTTTAAGTGACAAACACTGACATATTTATAGACATGATCTTTATTTCAATTGAGTATTTAGCTATAGCTGCAGGGAGCAGCGTGTTATTGCAAAAGGCAATAACTAGATAATCAGGTCAAACTAGAGCTCCTTTTATCCTTAAAAACCATGCATTACTATTGATTCACAAAACATTTATTTTCGTTTATAAGATAGCAAGGGACCAGACAGCCCCAAGCACTGACACCAGAGCTATCAGTTGTGCTGACAGCCTGGTAAGTAACTTATTGTACAGCTAAGAAATCTCAAATTGGATTTTCTTATTAATACTTTTAATACTTTGAGTTGTTTTCAAACTTTTATGGTACACAGTCTCAGAGATCCTGCTTTCATTTAAACATGTAACAGTAAAAAGTTGAGTATCTTAAGAATCTGGATTCACCATGAATTTAGACTGTAGTACTAAAACATAGAAAATATGCAGCTTTTAAGATTTTTCTCCCTTTTAATACTTGAAATTTTATTGAGCTATTCTGTTTATTTCTTTCATGCATATTTTTGCAAATAATTAAAAAAAAATCACTTGATATTACACTTCGTAACTTTAAGTCAAGAAGAATCCTTAATTATCATTTTTTCTTCTACAAACTGCATTTAGGCTGAACATGTCAAGCGATGTTGGATTTACAGTATCTGAATATCATGTATTTTTTTGTAATTATGGATTATACTATGTACACATATATACTACAGATTTGTATAAGAATTTCTGATTCCTCCTTCTAGTAGTACTATTGCCTTTCAAAGAAGACATTTCAAAAGATGCCTTAAAGTTTCCATGGCCCCCTGAGACACATAGTATGTGAAGTCATATAGCCAGTAAGTGACAAATTTGGTGGCAAAACTCCTCTATTTAAACTCAGTGGTGTGAACAGACTCTTAGTGGAGGTGATCTCCAAGTGACATCCAGAGAAGTGACATCTAGAAAACTGGTCTTGGATTTTAGGTTTAACGCTTTTCCACCTCACAGATGTTAAAAGTGATTGATTTGTTAATAGCTGTAGCAAAGAATCACTGTGGTCCTGACCAAAGTTTGGCATCCCCAACTCAACAGGAAGCTTAGTACTGAAGTGCTTAGTAATCCCATAAAACAGAACAGGAATAACAGGGTGTAAGATAAACCTTGTTTAGATAAGAATGTCTGGATGTGTTCTGTGGTCTTCATCGCCATAGCAGCAGGGAGGAGCACACTGCTACAGATTAGGAGGTATCTACCTAAGGTGTGGTTCCTGAACAGGACCACACACTGCATGGGGACATTAAGGATGCTGGAGAGCCTATATGCTAACTTAAAGAGAGTGGGCACAGGGGCTGCCCACAGCAGCAGGCCTTCATTGGCCCGCTCAGGCATTCAGCAAGCTTACAGTTCATCTCACAGCTCAGTGGAACCAGTCAATCCCTGGGAAACTATCTGCACCTCTTAACTGGATGTTATCTGCAGAGCTATCCCTAACCCAAACTCTCTCCAAATGTCATTATTCCAAAACTGTGACATGATACACAGGAGAAGACTCAAAGCTGGCTACTCGTGAATGGAGATCTTCAGTAAACACTTAAATGGGCTACTATGATGCCAAGAACTCAGCTTCCACTATGCTCTATAGCATACATCTACAGAGGTATGCATTCAGACAGAACGAACACCCACACGCTCAAAGGCAAGATAAATGTACGTGTTCACTAACAAGTTAACCATTTGAGCAGTAAAGTGGGCACTGAACGTTACCAAAATACCAATAAAGGGCTTGTCATCTGGGAGGTGAGTTCTCCCTTAACCATTATACAAACCAAATACTTAACTGAACACTGTACAAACACGACATATTGCCAAACCTGGAGTTACAGTAATGCAACTTGGTTGGGTTTTTTTTAATTCTTATACACATTCCACTCCGCATTAATATGAATTAAAAGATGGCATAATCCCTGCTTAAGTTGCATTTTAGGCCTTACTGGTTTTAGACATTCTCTGCTCTTTTTTAGCATCTTCAGGGGCCTCGATCAGGTAATGGCATTTCCCCTTTAAAAAGTCCATTTGCAGGGTCACTCAGACTTTGCAGGAACTGGGAGGCTCTGAAAGCAACACAGCACAGACCTGGGGAAATTTCTGCTTTTGTTTTATTTTTAAAACACTGCTTACTCCACACAACTATTTCAAAGGCTTGGACCTCCCAAGGTTTGCAACAAACCCTTTTAGGCTATATCCAAAGGCTTCTGAGTGTTGACAACCAGGTTATACTGAAAATTATTTCCCTGGAGAATTCATCTAAAATATGCTCTATTTATTGCACTCAAAGCAGCAGTGCTTAAAAAAAAAAAACAAACCCACCTATCAGCCCACACAAGAAGGGCTGCAGGTTGTTCAACATGAAAGGCAGGTCTCCATTTATGTGCCTAAGAAAAAGAGGAAGCCTCCATACACCCCAGACAAAAATCTCAAACTGTACCAGATTTGGGTACATCTGGCACACTATTGATCAAGATTGTCCTGCTCAGAGTGAGAAAGGGGTTCACTCCTAAAAGGATAAGATATGTGCTCCTCCTCCTTAACAGTAGTCCTGCTCTCTTCCCTGACCCTCAGCTAAATCCAGTAGTAACTGTCACTGTATTTGATCAGCAGAAAACTGGGTACGTATACCCTGGTATTGAGGCATTAATTAGTCCCTTTCATCCCAGGGTATGATTACAGGATGCGGGCCCAGGGAATTAAAGCTTTCTGTTGCTGCTACTGAGATACTGCTCAAAGTGTTGCTAGAGCTGGAGAGTTCAAAACCAGCAGGGCAAGATAGTATCCATGACCTGTATTTATTCTTTGCTACATGTTCCAAAATCAGTAAGTAGCAGCTGCCTCACCATGCCCTGAGGGGTGTTTCCCAGAATGGTTTCTATTTGCAAGAGGGTCAGAATATAAACATTTCCCAGACATGTCCCACACTTTTAGCTCTACTGGTTAGCAACAGGAAGGTAGCAGAATACTCCTGTGAGCACAAGTCAGCCAGAAAACTGCAAATTAAGTTGACCAAAATGCCACTACAGTGTTGCTTGTTCTAGTCCAAAATTGGTGTGAGCTATAAGAGGAAAAAGACGCTGACTGCAACTACACTGAGAAGGTTTGTCAGAAGGGGATCTCTCGCCCACAGGCCACTGTTACCCTGGGAATAGTGGGTCCAGCAGAACTGTAAATCTTTGCCCAGGTTCAACCCATGCAGTTGAAGCATTACTTTGAGGTAACACGTTTATTACAACACTAAACAAGGTTCTGTTTTTTTTTGTTTTTTTTTTTTTTTTTTTTTTTTTTTTTTTTTTAATAACCAAATTTTAATTCTTTACAACCTGTGTGGGAAACCATAAAGGACCTGTTCAAACCCACTTTCCCATCCCAAGCCTGTGCTGATTTCACCACTGGCATTGAGACCCCCACACAAGAGGTTTATTGCCCAGGCCTGGGGGCAGAACAAGGCACAGGAGGCAGAGGGGTACCAGCCCCACACCACCCTCCCGTGACCACTGCCGTGTGCTCTTTGAGCCACCAACACCAGGCAAAAGGATATAAAACAAGAACAATCCCAATTTTCTTCCATTTTTTTTTTTTTTTTTTTTTTTTTTTTGTTTTGTTTTTTTTTTTTTTTAATACCAACATTTACATGCATTACAGAGCTCTCACAGCACTGTGAAGTACAGTTGTGTACCTCACCTACCTGAGCATTAACTCTCCACTGCAGTTTTACCAGCAATCCCCAAATCTGCAGGAAGGGCATGTAACAACTTCAGCTGAATAGGGAAAGACATAAAGTTCAAGTTCTTTAAATGATAATATGATTTTTTTCAACACAAATAGTCTCACCTCATTAGCATTAATAATAATCTGCATTATTCTTCTGTGTGATTCTCTTAAACCTCTGGTTATTTATATAAAACAGATACACTCAAGCCATAAAATGTTCTGTTGAGCTCCCCACGAAAAGTTGTTTCCAACATGCAAAGCAGGCTGCAAAATAAAATGTATGATTTTCAGAGAGCAGAATTCAGAATTCTTCCCTGTTGACAGAGGAAAGAAAAATAGTACTGTATGACTAAGTCACCCAAAATTCCATGGTATTTACTTAGGAACTTCACTTTCATTATGCATACCTTTTGTCTGCAGGGAGACAGAAGTAGTGGGGGGAAGTCTGATATGAAAATAAGAGCAAATGTCTTTATGCTGAGTTTTAAAATCTCCTCTGGAAACTGTGCAGGTCCTTCTGCAAAATGAAAATCTCCATTTTTTTTTTCTTGTGGGAAATTTCTTGTGAGAGAGTTCAGCAACAGCTTGATTAATTAGAAGCTAACATCAAATTAAATCCACTGAAGTTATAAATCCATTCCACACCAGGAAGTAGATGGTACTTTACCAAATAGGTAGGAGGCAGAAACATCACAATTTACAGTGTACCACAGAAATACACTGCACCCCATCCCTGGCAAGCGCCCCTTTTAATTAGGCAGTCTTTTGCAACACGAAGGCCCAAAGACTTAAATCACACAAAATCTTCAGATTAACACAGATTAACAGCAAATCCAGCCAAGCTACAATTCCTGTAAGGGATTCTTTCACCTCTGTGGCAAAGCAAAAGCTCCCAGCAGCTCTAACAATTCTGCAGCAAAACCAAATTGCAACCTTTACTCTTTCACTAAGGAATAAGAAGATACCAGGAAGCTACATCTTTTTATAATTCTTTAAGTGACTATACTCAGCTAAAAGTGCAACAACCAAGCATTCAGTAGCACAATCCCTTCCAGCACTGGGGTGAAAGGATAAAACCTAGGATGTCCAAACACTTTGGATTCAGGACCTGAACGTACCTTATGGGAACGAAACACAGACTCCCCATCCAGCAGCACAAGAGCAACTTCACCCTCCTACTGAAAGCAGCAAAGCAGGACTGAAACTTCACCCCCCACCAGAGAGCTGAGGCTATTTTCCAGTCCAGTGCTGCAGATCAAGAATATCTGAAGACTACCACGCGAAGAAAAAGGCAGTATCTAATGATGATCTGACCACTGACAGACACAGATGACAGACTAGGTGTTTTGCACCTCGAGAAAAGAGCATCACCAAAACCAGTTTCACCATGTCTAAAGTTGTAAAACCTGTCACAGCTATATAAAAAAAAATACAGGTAGCATTCTGTATCATCACCAAATTACCTCCTTGAGAGTTCTTAGACGCACTTCTGAATTCCCATGGCAAAAAAACCAAACAAAACCAAAAAAAACCAACATGTCTTGTGGCAAATAGACCTTTTGACATTGTTTCAGTTCAGACTATTGTTTCACTATTAAAATATTGGTCTAGTTTGCTGCCTGAGTCATCATCTTTAGAATTTGTAATGGCCCCAACCTGAACCAGTCAGCCAACACATGACCAGTGATAAAACAGGTACCAATCCAAGTAATTGTTTCCACAAGATTGAAGTTACATGCATTAATAACTCATTAATATCCTGCACAGGCCAATCTCTACAGCCTAATCAGTTACTGCAGGAAGATAAGAGCTTCACAAGTCAGACCGATATTCATGTATCTCTAGCAAAGTTAAACAAAAGCAATAAGCTTTTACAACAGTGGTAGACAAGCACATCGGTGAAAAATCAAACACTGTACTTGTGCTTGCAGCACTTACCTCCAGTTGCTGCGAGGTCTTTGAGCAGTCAGCCCACAGCTCTTATCAGAGTTCCTCAGAACAAATGTCTTCAGAAAAAAGCAGCCAATTATACCAACCCCAGCTACAGCTGGATGCCATCAAGAAATCTTATCAACTGCTAGGCAAATAAGATCACTACATGAAATTATTGTGCCAACAGCAGAGTCTCAAGAAGAAATGTAACCTTTTAATCTCTATCTTTCTTGCAAATTGTTTCCTTATATTTGTTCTGCAGAGAGCTGAAAAGGTTACCCAAAGAAATAATCCTACTATGAGGACATTTAATTCACACCACCTTGGGCTACAAGACAGACAGATCAGAAGCACTTACGACCACTGTTCCAGTAAATGCACATATGTTAGAGACAACTATACACCTGCATTAGCTCTAGCAATTCCAAATCCAGCATCCTGCAATGATGTCAAATGAACTAACAGGTAACCAAAAATCACCCTATTAACCTACAGCTTCACAAGGCTTCTGCGGCCTCTGCCTTTCCTCTGGTCTTAGGGAGAGTCCTGTTCTTCATTTTCTAGGTAACGTGAGCAGTGCTCCCCTGCATCCCTCACCCTTTCATTTGACCATTTTTTTCAGCTGTGCCTTACTGGATCTGAAAAGTACCATCTTCCTCTCCTTCCAAACCTTGGCAATTTATACATATTCTCACAAATAGGCAAGAAAATAAGAGCAGACTCCCTTTGATTTCTCTCAACTGAAAAGACAGATGTAGGTGTAAGAGAGATACAATGAGATGCACTTTATCTTTCCAACTATTTGTCAGTTCTAGTCAGTATTGTGTATCTTTAGATTTGCTTACTGTTCTACCTGTTTTTATAAATGAAATGAGATTAATACAGTGCATTGGTTTCACAGACATTAGCATCCAGGACCTGCAGTAACAGGGCAATTCAAACATACTGAGAAAGGACAGTTTTCATTTCTATCTAAAAAGGCTTCCTCTTTTGCTGATAAGATACAGCTTCCCCCACCCCCTGTAGCTGAAAGCACTTTCCCCTCAAAGTCAGTTCATAAAAGGTGGCTTTCCTTTTTTCCTTCTAGAGCATTAAAAAAGAATAAGAGTTTATTTCTTTTTATAAAGCAATACTGCAGCCCATAAGAACACGCTTACACTTAAAAATCATGTATTTTCAAGCTTTACTGCACTGTCCCAAGAGTTTACCTGCTTTGCTGGGAAAAGCTGCTTACAGCCTGTTAAGGGTCAGGGCAGAAGATTATTTAATTAGGTGGCAGCCCTCACCCTGGGTTTAGAGAGGGAAATGGATCCACACAAATTACATCCAGCTGAGTTTGTAAGAAATGTTTATATGAAAACAAGGCAAGAACAAAGAAAGATATGCTTGGGGTATCAAATGCTATATTAAAAAACCTCAAAACTTAAGAGACAAATAAAGCATCACAAAAAGCACTTTAAAAGAAGCATGCTATGCAAAGAACTGCAGCTAGAGTCCAGACACATAAGCAGGAGCACAGAAATTGTTTTCCAGATATTAGCTAAAGGATTAGATAAGCCACATGATTATTGCTAATAACACTGAAGAACGCAAACAGCTATAGAGTTTACATACCTGTTTATTAATCTGTAGCTAAACCAGCTTTCAATTACGTGGAGATACATATTCATCCTAGTTTGAATGGTTGCAATCACGCCACAGAGGAGCTTTACTAAAGCCTGAAGCTGACAAAACACAGCATTGTCTGAAACTTACTCTAAGAAAACATTCCGATACCTATATTTGCAAAAATACTAGTCAGAAATACGATGATATAATGCAAAATGTTACATGCAAGTAATGGTTTTCTACAGACTCTTATCTACACACTAACAAACGCCATCTTCCATTTTTAACTTCATTTAGAAGTTGGATAGAAAAGTAACTTTGACACATTCACACAACAGATATATTAATTGAAATTAATTAGCACATCTTTGTACTGCATCTAGTAGTCCAAAACTGCATCACAAGATAAAAATTACATTTTCCTAAGTTCTTGGCCATCTCTACTTGGAACCTAAAAAGTAACAACTAAGGTACTGTATTCTTCATTTCTGTTCATTGTACTGCCATTATATTATGCAGTAGAAATTCTCACCATATTCAACCTCATTTAGCTGATTTTACTGCAGATTTGCATCTGCTAGATAAGGCTACAGTGACACAGATGTATGCAGCAAGACTGTCTGACATCAGAATTTCTTTTTCTTTTGGAGATTGTAACTTATTATTTTCACTTTGATTTTTTGGCTAGAGTCCAGTCAGTTTTAATACTAGTTTTCAGTGAAATCTAGGAATGTTTTACTCCTAGAAACTCTAGCAACTAGAATTTTGGTTTTCCCCAAAAAGCAGACTTGTCCTAGCCACCTGGAATTTCCTTCCGTGGATCAGACCATTTTACCACGTACAACCTCTCACTGTGGCCAGGTCCAGGTTCTTACCAGCTGGGCCTTTTTTGCTGATTTGCTATCAACTCAAAGTTTACAATAACACATTAGCGTTCATTTTGCTTTCTTCTAGCACAAGTTACCTTCTGTTCGCCACCACTTAGTTTCACACATCACCATGTTCTTCATTTACTTACTTTTGCTAGATTTTTCTGTGCAATCTCCCTAATCCACTCTTCATTCTTCCCGGTCAAGCTGACCCCTTTCTGCAGATATGAAGGCAATGCCGAGTATCAGTCTCCGAGCAGAACCTTTGTCAGTCATTAACAATTTCCAAGAACTGCACATTTATTGCTGTGCTTTGCTCCAATCTTTTAGATGAGAACTTCAAACCTGTTCTTGAACTTCACGGTCACCCTTTATTTATTTAGTTTCCCGAGCAGCCTTCCATTCCTCTTAGCATTTTCGGACCAGTACTGAATTTCAAGATTCCAGGTTTCTCCAGAAACTCTTCAGGTATCCTTTGCTAGCCTTAGACCAGCTCAGACTCCCATAAACAGGACAACAATGACAAGGCAGTTCCTTTTCCAACAGAAGCTGAAGGGAGAAGAAATCACCTTTTGAAACTAGAAGGCTTGTGCTCAGCTATGGTCCTAAAAAATTAACCTGGTTTTAAATAATACAGTCATCCCTTCCCCCACAAATTAGGTTGCCATTCACCTTGAACTTGGCAGGATTGATTTGCATTTCCCTGGCAAAGTGCGGAGCTATTGTGAGCCAAAACAGCAAATGCCTGAAAAACAACATCAATGTGGTTCTGAATCTTCTCTTTGGCAACATAAGTACAACCATATTTTATATGCAATTATTATTTTCACATCAGCACTTCATTTGTCACAGTGTTATGCGCTGTGTCATGGTGCTCCAAAATAAACACATTCAGCAGAGTGAGCACAGAAAGAAGGGCAAAAACAGCAAAGGAAATGTGAAGTCAACCCATCTCTACTCACTATTTTACTTTACCCTTCACAGAGTTTTTTAAAGACATCACCTGGCCTACTTAAAACTTTACAATATATAGAGATCACTCCCTGAGGGTCAGCCTTACTTATGCAATTGTATTGCCCTAAATCTTGCCTCCAAGGGGTTACTACAACTACATCTTGGCATTCTGCTGTTATCAGGCATTTTATTTTGTGAGCTACCCAGGTTACAAAGCATTAACTACTGGCATGAAACCACAAACATACACATAAACAATTTAAGCATCATCTCATCACATCACAATTCCTTTAGCTTTGTATAATTAACTATTAGCACCACTGAAACACAACACCCTAAAATCTGGTTCCAAGCACCTTCCAGCTGGACAGCCTCTTGTGATAGAACATTAAAAAACCTGAGGAAAATTAACGTAAGGAGAGCAGGCAGCACTCAGAGCCATGCTTCCAAAGGCCCATCTGTGCTGAGCTTTCTCCCTGCCTGGAGACTTTTTTTTTAAAAGTCTCCAGGCAGAGAGAGACTTTCCTGAGAACAGAAGCAACACAAGGAAGGAAGGTCGAGCAGCAAGGGCTCCAGCAGCACAGCTTATGAAGTGGCTCAGGGCTTAAGCAGAGGTTGTGTGGGAGAAAGACAACCAACAGCTCTACCAAGCCCTGGAACCCCTGAGGGAACCTTCCCTTCAGCCTAAGGGAGCAGGCACAGGCCTATCTTCTGGTCACACTCAACACCCAGGACCTTGCAAAAGGGACCTCCTGGCAGCAGAACAACCCCTCAGGGACGCCCCAACCTCCACAGAGCCTCCCACTCTCTCCGCTCTCAAGGAAACCGGCAGAACCGCCATCATCATCATCCTCCCCCGCTTCACCCACACTCCCTCCTCTCTCCTCCCTCCCCCGCCCCGCCGCCATTTTGTCCTCCCTTCCCTCCCCTGCCTCGCTGCCTGGCGTGACGTCACTCCCGCGCCGCACCCCGCACTCCCCCCCGCGCCGAGG